ACTCACGTGAAGGCCGATCACATGTACTTGGAAAGACTGATGGCTGTAGTATGCCGACATGGGGAACTCCTCGATTGACAGTCACTATGGTCACTCGTTGTGTGTATGGCGCGGAATGAAGTCCGCTGACATCCGGACTACGAAGGTAACCACGCTCTCGCTCTCGGAAGTCTGGGTGAGCACATAGAGTGGCGTTCTTGACATCTTACCAGTCGGTTTGTCCCTCCGCTCCTTCGTCGGTGAAGTTGGTGCGGGCAAGGCCGGTATGTTGACAGCCGGAGTGCCCACCCTAGATTTTTTCGGTGATGTGACATGTTGTCGTCCCCCGACTATCACGGAATTCCTGATAGATTACGAGAATCTGGCCGCGTTGTTGAAATAGACCGAAGAAGAAAAGATGGACCACCTGGGGCAGCATGTTTCTTTGAGCTTAGTGCGGGACATAATGGCCATTGTAGTCGCGAGTCAATCCTGGAAGGAAACTCGGGATGTAATGATGAAAAAGTATCTGGCAGCGGAGAAGATGGCAACGGAGACCGACTTAGCGGTGGTCCAGAGAAAGAGCTTTGCAACGTACAATGACTTCCTACGGGAGTTTACCCTGGTAGCCCTAAGGATCCCCGGGGTTACGGACCGGATAATGAGTAAGTACTTCCTTAGACAGTTCTCCGAGTTCGACAAGGACAATATTCTGTCGGCTTACCAGCACACGAGCAAGTTTCTAAACACTAGGGATGTTGATTTTAGCACAGTAACGGATCTAGCCGAGAAGACAGTAGTGACTGAGACATTGGCCTTGCTTAAGGAAGGGGAGGTTATACATCTGACTGGTAGGACAACCGACAAAGTAAAAAAGGGGATTGAAAATCTACATGAACGGGTGCACGGAGTCGACAACAAGATTGAAAGGGTGGAGAACGCGCTACTGGTTATGCAGGCGCAAGTATCCCGACCCGCCCTCCCTCCCAAGGAAGCCGTAGTTCCACCAGGGGTAGCCAGTCGAGGATTTGGACGGAGAGATCCCGCTCATGAGCAATGCAAGTATTGCACCGCGGTGGGACATTTTGTGGGCGCATGCCCAAAACTCAACCATGATATATTAAAAAGGAGATGTACCAGGTCATTAAAGGAGGAGATATTCAGACCGCAGGGAGAACGGGTGAATTGGAACTCACCAGGGGGGATGCGACGAGCCATTATCATGCTCAATGGGTTAGAGATAGCAGCGGTAGAGGCTGAGCCGATGGTCGATATCATCTGGGATCAACTTCGGGGCCGAGGGCCGCAGGTCAACTTTATTCTGGAAAGCGACGGACGCGATAAGGTGAACGCGACCACTTGACTAGGGACGGTTGGGAGAAGAATTATCCGTGACACCGTGATGGAGGAGGTTGCTGGAGGCTCCACGCCCCAGGCAGAGCCCGAGGCCGGGGAACCAGAGAAAGACTATGGGAAGCCTAGGGAGGAGGAGCCTACATACAAAGTTACCGCTGCTAAAAAGAAGTTTAGATACCAAATCCCGATTTTAACTATGCCTGAGACCGATGACACCCTTAACAAATTACTAGGAACCATGGTATCAGTGTCGTTTCAGACCATGCCGCAGACCAGCCCTAGGTTGCTCAAAGGGCTTAGACAACTGTTGACGTGACGATGAGTAGAGATAGACGAAAACCCCGAATCACCAGAAGGGGAAGAAGAGGAGGAAGCTCCGCAAGAGGTCGCTAAACTTCAAAGAAGTCGCGGGGATTTGGAGGATCTCGAGAAAGCCTTTGCAGACATCTGCCTGAGCTTGCCGAGGTCATGAGGGTACCTCCCGGAACAAAGCTCAGCTTCCATGCGCTACCCGTAGGAAAGTTGAAAATCCAGATCGGGGGTCATCATACCGACGCATTAGTAGACGGGGGAGCGGAAATCACTTTCATAAGGAGAGATTTTGCAACAATCACTGGCTGTACGGTAAATAAGGAAGTAACAGAAAGCATCCGGGGAGTCGTTGGGGAAATTTCGTTCGCTGGATATATCACGAAATGCGCAGTCAAGGCAGGAATCAGGGAGTCGATCTGGTCGTTTCAGCGGATGACCGTAATGGAGGAAATGAACCATGACATAATCCTCGGGAGACCGTGGTGTGCAAACGTAGAAATGATAGGTATGCACTTGCACGATGGCACATACATGGTAGACATAGAGGACCCAGTGACCCGCCAGGGAGAGCTCCTCCGACTTCTAGGGACAGGAGGAGACCCTCCGAAGGGAAAGTTAGTCACGTGATCGCCGTCGTTCGAGGATAGCGCACGAAAGGGGGCTTTTGCGCGAAATCATGACCGAGGAGACATTCAATAAGAAGAAATGGATCAAGATGGGCCTGCCCTAGAAGAAGAGAAGGCAAGGGAATCAGAAGTCGAACTCGGGGCCAGCCTTCCCAAGCAAAAAGAAGTGCGCATGGACGTACCCGAGGTCACACTCGAGATTCCCGATTTGTTACAGCTCATCAAGGCCATCAGATACCACAACGTAGGAGTGGACTCGGTGGCATTGGCCAAATTCGAAGGAGAAGTGCAAAAGGGATATTGTCTAAACGAAAAATTAGTCAGTATTCAACCACGAATCGTAGAAGTGGCGAGGGCAATCCCGACCGCTCATTTTTTAGGAGAAAGATCCCGAAAGGAAGTGTCCGAAAATACGAGCCGGTAGGAAAGAAAGCAAAACCGGTCTCGATCCTGCTAGAGACGTCAAAGGAAGAGGCTATGGAGAAGGAGGAGGAAGTCCTCTGGGTGATCCGAGAGAGGCGAGCAACAAAAGGGCATCGGATACCAGCTGAGGTAGCTGATACAATGAAGATAGGGGTAGAGGGATTCTTAACAGGGCAAGAAACCCTCCAGATCAAAAAGACCTGCCAGGAGTTTCACCTGGCATTTGCCTTTAGTGACCACCAGAAGGGGCGGTTGGACGCGAAGCTAATTCCTCCGGTCAGAATCCACACGGTACAGCATGAGTGCTGGAATGACAAAGGTCCGGCCTATGAATTTGGGATAGCAGGGGAGGTGATAGACCTTCTCCGAGCAAAGATGAACTCCTTCATCGCAGAACCTACGACGTCGCCATACGCAAACCGGTGGTTCGTTTTTCGGAAGCCCAACAAGACGCTGAGGTGGATTCAGAACCTGCAGAAGTTGAATGCGGTAACCATCCGGGATGCTGGCTCACTGCCTCAGGCCGATTTATTAGCAGAGTCGCACGCCGGCCGGAGCATTTACTCCCTGATCGATCTGCACTCAGGGTACGACCAGCTTCTATTGGATGTTCGGGACAGGATGTACACCGCAATGCACACCCCCGTAGGCCAGTTGCAGATGCAGGTGACCCCTATGGGTTTCACAAACGTGGTAACCGAAGCGCAACGGAAAATGTTCGCCGTAGTCGGGGATATGTTCCCAAAGAAGTGTGAACCCTACATCGATGACACCTGATCAAAGGCGCGCAAGAGAAGGACGAGACGGAAGTCCAACCAGGAATCCGAAGATTTGTATGGGACCATCTACATGACATCAAGGACTTACTCCGCTGGTTCCTAGTATACGACATTACGGCTAGCAGACCAAAGAGTATTCTAGCAGTACCAGAAGTAACCATACTAGGATTTCGCTGCGGTGCTTATGGTAGGAAGCCAAATCCGGCAAAGACAGACAAGATATCACAGTGGCCAATACCCCTGCGCACGACAACGGAGGTAAGAGCATTCCTAGGCGTGGTCGGCTTTTGGAGGATCTTCATTAAAAATTTTGCTAAGATTGTTGAGCCTATCCGGGCCATAATTAGAGAAGAAGGGACCATGGATTGGACGGAGGAGCGAGAAGAAGTCGTCCAAACCCTCAAGGACATACTGACATCGGAGCAAGTCGCCTTGTCGGCACCCTGCTTTAATGACGAAGTGGGACGGTCATTGATCCTAGAAACGGATGGAGGACCCTTGGTCGTAGGGGGCGTATTGATTCAAAGCGATGAGAAAGGAAAAGAAAGGCCAATTAGGTTCGAAAGTAGAACCCTGAACTCCGTAGAACGGTGGTACTCGCAGTTCAAGAAGGAGGTCCTAGCCATCTTGCATTGCCTCAAGACCTTCCAGGCCTACCTATTTGGAAGGCGGTTCATCCTTAGGATCGATCCGATGAATGTTGCAGGGGGCCTTAAAGAATTACAGGTCTATAGATCCGACGGTAGGGAGATGGATAGGATTTATCTGGCAGTTCGATTATAAGATCGAACAGATTGCGGGAATCAGAAACAAGGCCGATGGACTGAGTCGGGTCTGCATCACTCCCGAAGGGGTGGAGGATGCGGAGCCCATAGACGCATTCCTTGAATACGAAGGAGGAACTCTTACGGTGGATAATGAAATGCTGCACGAAGAATGCGCGTTGGGAAAGCTGTTGATCCAGACTTTGGAGAAGGGGGCACCTGCCGTAGTAGCAGAACTTAGAGAAGGACCAGTCACCACTCCAGGTCGCAAAGAGGAAAAAGATTCGTGGAGAGCGATAGTAGGCGCGAAGGAGGAACTAATAACAATGGCGGTTGAGGGAGGCCGGAAAGCCGTGACGAGCTTAGTGGGATCTTGGGAAAGGAAAGAGTTGCGATGGATGGTAAACCAGATGCAGGAGAGAAAGGATGAGGACCAGGAAGGGAAGGAGTTTTTCTATGCCCAGATATACGAAGGGATCTTTCGGGAGATCGGGTTTTTGTTGGTAGGAAACAAACAACCCATGGAAGTCAGGAGGCCGAAAGGTACGTCCTAAGGGGCGACCATCTGTTCCGAAGAAAGGAAGGTGCTATGCCTAGAAGAGTTGTGTGCGGAAGATCTACGCAGTTAGATGTTATCCAGGCAGTGCACGACGGATTAGCAGGAGGGCATCGATCGTCCAAAGGAACTCTTGCAAAGATAATGTCACTCTACTGGTCCACCGTGACCTTACGGTCATGCCTGTATCAATAGATGGGTACAGGTATATCCTGGATGCACGAGACAACTTGAGTGGGTTCGTGGAGGAGGTCGTTCTCAAGAAAAAGACAGGGAGAAGTGTAGCGGACTGGATAGAAGACTTCTACTTGAGGCATCCCTTCGTCAGGAGGTTTATAGCGGACAATGAGACAAAATTTGTGAACCAAGAAGTATTGGGAATGCTTAAGAGACTCTGCGTACCGATCAAACTCATCGAGCCGTATCACCCGGAGGCCAGTGTACCTGTGGAAAGAGGGCACCGAACCTTAAAGAACAAGATTGCGAAGCTCGCAGCGGACCATTTGGGAAGCTGGCTTAGGTATCTCTAACAGGCTGTCTTCTAAGAGAACATGACACCTAAGAGGACAACGAGGTGTTTCCCAGCAGAACTTTGGTACGGAAGAGAGATCGACTTTCCCGTCGAAGTCTTGATACCTACCTGGAACAGGTTAGATGATGATTCGCGAATGACCACGGAAGAGTTAATCGAGGCGAGGTGTCAACAAGTCCTTAAGAACGAAGAGGTCATGGAAGATATCGCCAATCGGGTACTAGACAGCAGAATGAGGGACAAAGCAAGGTGGGACCAGGTTACGAATGTCAGAAAGGAGCCACTTTAGGTGGGGGAGACAGTATTGCTAAGGAACTCGGCACTAGAAAGTACTTAGTCTGGACAGTTGGGGAGGAGGTTTCAGAGGCCCCTACCGGGTCGCCAAGTGAGTGGGACTGAACACCTTCGAACTGGAAATTTGGATGGAACCGGATTGAAAGGACCCTTCCCGAGGCAACGATTGGTCAGGTTTCTAAGTCAGGACCCAGTGGAACAATGGCTTCAGGAGGCCGAGGATAAGGAAACTGAGGGACTACAAGCTAAGGACTGGCAACGACTTTGCCCACACTATGGTTCTGTCTCTGACTGCGTCCGTGGGACTGTTATTTTTTTGGGGGGTTGGGGCAATGGTTTGGACTGACTGAGGTTGGATGGCAGGATGACTTGGGAGTTTGCGGTAATGGGTTTGTGTGACAACGGGAAGGATTGTCGGGATCATTGTATCATAGTTTTTTATGGGGAAATACTGGGATCATCACAAACGGGGCATTTGCATAAGGGAGGAAAATGTATAATAGTGACGTGATGCGAAGGATACTGGGAGCATTCTAGGGAAGGGGAGCTGCCTACTGGACTGTGAAACGGGTGTATGAGGGGTTTTGCGGGTGTTGTTTTGCTATACAGGACCAAAGACAAAAGTAAAAATGGAATTCGGCAACCAGAATGACAGTGGGGCGATCAACAGGCCTACCGGAAGGGAAGAAGTGAGACCGAGTCGAGGGAGGAGGACGACAAAGAGAAAGTTGTACATAGGGCCCATATCCGGGCAAGTGGTAGGCAGGGGTGCAAGAAAGCGCGTGTGTAGAAGACCCTCACCCCTCCGGAAGGGAGAAGGTATATATATCTCATCTGGGAGTGAGAGCGAGGAGGAAAGGGTAAGTGTGGGATAAGGGGGCAATGCGGATATAGGAGGCAAAGCTCAGGCCTCTGACGAGGAAGGAGCCAAGAGGTGCGAACAACGTGAGTCTTGGCATGGGGAAAGCGAGGGGAGACAAGATATGCGCGACGAGCATGAGGACGGGGAGGAGAGAAGGGAAAGTCCTCTTGAAGGACGGAGCGGCCACTGCAGTTGCGAGGGGAGGTATCCAAACGTTGAAGAAGGATATGGAGGGAGGATGGAGACTCCCTATAGCTACGATCCAAAGAACTTGACGGGCGGGTACAACCCCATACAGACGGAAGAAGAGGAGGACGAGGAGGAGGAAGTGCAGGAGGTCATAGAAATCAGCAGTGGGGATAAGAGGGATGAAATCTCGAGGCCTTGAGAAGAGAGGTGGCCCCCGATACACCAGCCGCGCGAGGGAGCATTCAGATGGGAGGATGAGTTTGGACCAACGCCCAACCACTGGTTTCAGCAATGGTTCAGTGTGATCAAACATGAGTGGACTATCAAGGCCGGGGAAGGGGTGGTGGCCACACCATTGGATTTCTACAGCGAGATGGAGTTACGGGAAATTGCAAGGAGGAGAAGAGGAATCATGGTCTCCGGTCTGGGGGTTAAAGAGTCAGCAGAAACACAAGATGGACAAGGGGCCGAGCAAGTTAAGGCACAGGACAGCAATAGGGATTAGATGTTGATCAAGCGTTGAACAGGAATCCTGCTTTTTCATTTGCAAAACATTGGAACGACAAGAATGTGTATAGTATGAGTAAGCTTGCTAAGGATGAGTGATGAAAGGGTCAACTGAGACTGTGTCACGATAAGTTAGAAGATAGCATTTTTAGGCTACTTTCTGGATGAGCTACCTTCGAAAATGGGTATACAAGACGATGACACGGGCATGGGATGAGACCGGTTGGGAAAGGTGTGTTGTGAATTTTGGATGGAATAAGGATTGTGTTGTTGAGAAGAGAAACTTTGATTACAGATTGACGAGCAAAGCAAGGCATTGAATGTTGGCCGAGTACAAGAGAGGTTAGGGAACCTATGGGTTAAGGGGCGTGAAAAATACTCCTTCCCTAGAAGCCTAATCCAACTGAGTCAGGAATGAGTCTGAAAATAGTCAAGAGCTGAGAAACCAGAAAGAGTGAAAATAGAGGGGGTGTCCCGGTCCTTTGTTGTGGTTGAACGGCCGGGTGGGCTAGTGCTGCTCGGGATCGAGAGTCCCAACTCGAGTACTAGACGCTAAGTCGGATGTATGCATAACACGGTAAATGTTGTGGAGAAATGGACAAAGGAAACTGCACAATAAAAACTGAAAAAGAGATGGTTACCTTCTAACCTTCGAGACAGAAATGGGATCCGTGTCCTCGAGGCCCACCCCCTCAAGCGCTAACATTAAGAATGGAAAGGAATGACCCTAACCAGGTTGTTCGACTTGAGAATGGAAAGGAATGACTCTAACCAGACTGTTCGACTTGAGAAGGGAAAGGAATGACCCTAACCAGGCTGTTCGACTTGAGAATGGAAAGGAATGGCTCTAACTAGGCTGTTCGACTTGAGAATGGAAAAGAACGACCCTAACCAAGTTGTTCGGGAATGACCCCTGACAAGGGTCATTTCTTTTGAAATAGGCACTGGGGTCCCCTGCATAACTGATTGAGAACGATTGATTAAGAAAGGTTGATTGAGAATGAGCTGGAATGAGCAATGAGAGATGAAAAAGGTCGGTGGGTCGGTCATTGAAATAGCCATGAGAATGGATGAAAGAGAATGAGAAGGGCAGGATAAAGAAGGCTGAGCCTTAAGACGAGAGGGGCATGGACTGGTGAGACGGTCATAAGGAATGGATAGTGGGGAAGGTGAGAGTTGAAAACGGAAGGTGAGCCGACGGGTTGGTCCTTGAAAAGATGGCTATTGAGAAAGCGATCGCCAGAACGGCCACAAGGGGTGGCCTTGTTGATGAGAAGCTGTCGGACCAACCATGAGAATCAGCCTTGGAAATAACATTGAATTGAGTGTTTGAGAATTGGATATTGCATTCCATAGTCAGGGGACCCTAGGCAATTTGATGAAAGGTCGTCGGACCGACCATGAAAATAACAAGAGATTGAGTTTTTCTTTTTTTCTAGTCTCGGGTCTCAACATAAGGGGGATAACAATGCTTGCATCGCGACCCCAGGACCTCTACCCGTCAAGGGGAAAATCTCAGCGCAACGTATTCCTCATAAGGGACAATAAGGGTTGAAAGACCATGACATTGTTCTCTTTGATTGATGTTGGTCGTCCGAAACTAACCCCGACAACGAGCTTTAGTCGGGGAGTTCAAACTGCGCCTCATGTTGAGAACCTAAACGGCAAGGGCGTGGAGCCAAACGGGCGAGAGAGTCATTCTTTTCCTAAGTCTCATTTTTTCTCCCCAACCATACGCCATGCCGTAGAGAGGCGGCGCGGCCGTTATGAATGGACCAAGGTTGCTCGCATTAAGTTGAGCGGCACTGTCCAGAGGGAGGGGTCAGGCGTGGTACCGGGTAGAAGCCGCAACCACCACAGGGCGAGTGACACCGCCCTGTCGGATCTTTACAAGGCGCTTGGGATGGCAAGGCGCGGAGAGAAACAGGGGCAGCAAGAAAAGGAAAAATGAAAGGAGGAGTGATGCTTTGAGGGTGATGAACGAGACGAAAGGTGGGTTGATGCTCTAAGGGTGATCAATGAGATGAAAGGAGGATTGATACTCTGAGGGTGATGAACGAGACGAAAGGGGCTTTGATGTTCTCAGAGTGATGAATGAGACATGAGAAGTCTAAAGAAAGCCTAAATTAGATACACCTCTCTCCGTCCCAAGGGTTGAAGCCTAAAAAAATCCGAGAAAGGAACAAAAAAAGACAAAACGGACCCTGGCAACTAACTACCCATAACATCTCACCCTCCTCTCTCGTCTATCCCTCCAAAACCTATTGACAAGAGATTGGTGCGCGATGAGGACATCGTGAATGAGTGGGGGGAATGTGTCGGGACTGGTGGGACCCGAATAACTTCCCATCACTCGAGATACTAAATATAGACAAATTGTGCACGACAGAGAAATCTGGAGTAAGGAGGAAAGATAGAGAAAAGACAAAAGGACTACGCCGCAGGAGGGAGTAATGCCCTGGGGAGAAAACCGCAGAGGGAGAGAACCAGCAACGACGAGCGAGTGAGCGCAAGAACAGGGGCACGTAGAACATAGTATGAGGCCGGGAAGGCCGTTGGAATGCAACAAGACTAAGGCCAAAGGGTCCTTGAACCAGCAAACGCAGCAGGACAGCGACAAAAGAATGAGGAAGTCGAGAGATGGACGACCCGAGGGCCGTGGGAAGCTAGAGAATGAGGGGCCAACGTGGGGGCCACCTACAGGAGCCTCGGAGTGGAGGCCCGCAACCAAAGAAATCGGCGCTTGCAAAGCACAAGAAAAGACAAGGGAGGGGGGTCACCGTGGGGCGAAAAACGCCCAAGGAACGTGGGACACCTTGGGGAAAGGAACCCGGGGCCATGTGGGACCAAGTAGAAAAAATGGCATCCGGGACAAAATGGGCCGGGGACCGCCGGCGAGACTAAGTGTCAGGGACCACCGGCGGGACCAAGTGTCGAGGACCGCCGGCGGGACTAAGTGTCGGGGACTGTCGACGAGACGGATGGCGGGGACATGTGAAAGTCCCAAGAAGAAACGGCGGTACCGCATGAGGAAAAATAATAAAGGCAAGGTGCACCGTCAAGATCGATATCTTGACGACCAAAAATATTAGCACCACTAGTGCAAGCACTAACGGCAGCAAACGAGAAGGCCAAAAGGAAGAGAAAAAGTAAAGAAACTTGAAGTAAGAGGCATGAGAGAAATCCTAAAAATCTCGGATCAGCCTCCCGCAAGAAAATAGAGTCAAAAGAGACCCCATGTAGAAAATAGACCTCCGAGAGAAAATCGGAGTAGTAGGGGTCACTGTGGGAGAAAAATAAGAGTAAAAGAAAGCTCCCATGGGCATAAGAAGGCCATTGTTGCAGTCCGAGATACAACGGACTGCACCTTGGGCATAGGAAGGGCCAAAACTAAGAGGAAGGGGCTAGAAAAGGGCCGTAACGGCCACTTGACACTTGGCATGCTAGAAAAAAGAGAGAAAAGAAAAAAAAAAGTGGGAGAATAAGACTAAAAGAGTGAGAGGGAGTGAGTGAGTTGGCCGTCAGTAGGGATTGCCACAAGTAGGGACTGACAGGTCCCTACTTTCCAAGAAAGGAGGAAAAAGAAAAGAAAAGAAAAGAGAAAAAAACCTTAACGGTAAAATACGGTCACTCGGGGAGATACATCCGTGACCAGATTCATTCTGGAATATGGCGGTTGCAATGAACTTTGATTTTTTTTTATTTTTACAGAGAAAATCAAAGAAAATCAAAGCCTCATGCAACCGAAAAATAACGGATTACATAGGGGAGGAGAAACACATGTTTTTTGTGCATCTGGAGCCAATATTGAGCCCGGATGCATTTAGAAATTTAACGCTTCATTTTCTCTTAGCATGAGGCAAGTTGTGCGGCTGTGGGACTAGGAAAATAGCTATGAATGCAGTCTGAGAAATAATGGACTGCATGGGGGTGCCTAGGCTAAGGGAGAATAAACCACGGCAAGCCCGAGAGGCTAGAAAAGAGCAATTTCGGTAGGGGGCAAGTGGAGACGGTAAACGACAACCGTGAGATGAAATCTCACGGCCTAGAAAAATTGGCACACATATAGAGATGAGGGGACCAC